TTCAAATCAACAGCATGACATAATCTCTGTACATACCCAGGCGAACTCTGGCCCCCAAAGAGGTTTACTATATGCTGTCAAGTGGACGATAATAATTCATTTGCGGCTGTCCACCTTGTTGAGCCACCACTGCATGTAAACGAGTCTCGTCCTGACCGCCCCTCTCCACAGTCTCCACCCACAACTAATTTTGAACCAACGCCACACCGTAATATCAATTGTACAAACCACTTCCGCAACACTGATAGCACTCTAGTGTACGTGTCGGTCATCATATATTATCTGAATGTTCGATTAGTCATCAAACCAATCCATCCAACACGGCTCAATGGTGTAAGTCCCCAACTTCACCCAATCAAGCCAAACACCCCGACTAATATCTCTACTAGCTAGTCGCATGATTCCTGCTTTGGGAAAAGCTTTCACAAACTGCAGGAGGTCCCGGGTGTATGTTCCCAGTGTTCGAATTACCAAAGTATCAACCACTAACGCGTGTTAGTCAAATCCCGGTTGAGCCCTTTATGGATCTTTCTTTTTTGCTGATTTTTTTGCTTGGTTGATTGAATAGGGGTAGGTAAGAGGAGATATATGTAGTGCTGGCGAAGTGCCTGCTCTGGCCTTTATGTTTGTCTGGTTGCGTGTTGTGACTTGCGCAGCTGTTTTTGTGTCACACGCTAGACATGTAAACCTCACCCTTTAGATCTTTACAGTTCCTGTTCTGATGAAACGAAACTGTAAAGTACTTTTTCTGTGCAAGATGTTCTTGTAACGAATCTTGTTCTACTTGTATAGTTCGATGCAGCAGATACAGGATATCGCAGAAATATATCCGCATGAACGTAAATCAGATAGAAAGTGTCTATCTAATCGCATTCTGTTGCCTTGCTCAGCACTCTTACCTGATAACAAGCATCTTAAATCACAGTAATACATATGCTGTGTCGTATGAACACTGCTGATCAAGAGCATAGATCACTGACTCTTCCACGTTTCAGCAGCACGATCTTGAGAAAAATTCTATCACATTCAAAAAGACCAAATAAAGGTATCTCAACATCCCCCAAACTCCAACCCCACCCATCCAAAGACTAAGAAACAGGTATCGTAACATTCATATACGCATCCAATCCAACCCAAAACGCCGACCCAACCCAACCAATCTCAAAATCACCGCCTCCCAACCGGCCACTCAACCTCCAACCCCAAACTCCGATCAATAGCTCTCCCCTCCCTCTCATCCCTCCTAACACTCTCCCCCATAACAACAGTCGCGCACCGCCTAAGCACCTCCTGTCCCGTAATCCTCTCGCCAACCCTCCCCGGCGCACAATCGCCCACCTGCAACCTCCTTTTCGTAACCTCGAAATACTGCTCTTCATTCTCCAACGTAAGCAACTGCACAAACACACTGCACATAACAACCAACTCCTCCGTCATCTCCATTTGGTAGCCCCAAGCGTGGAATACCGCGCCGACGTAAGGCAGGTTTCCGTTTTGAGAGAGGAATTGGCGGAGGAGGGAGTGGTTTGTGGCTGAGAGGCGGGTGGGGGGGATGGTGGAGGGGCAGAAGAGGGCGGGGTGTTTGAGGTGGGTTGTGTAGAGTTTGTCGAGGGCTTTGTAGTGGGTGCGTGTCCAGGGTTCGATTTTGGGGAGGGGGTGGAGGTGGGAGAGGATTGGGTGGGGGGATGGCGGTGGGGGGCGTGTGAGGGTGGATTTTACGCGGTCTAAGAGATGCAGTTGCTGGTGTGGAGATGTGGCAGGCTGACTGCTGGGTTCGGGGCTGGCTTGCGACTCCTCGCTGATGGAACTTTCGATTGACTCGTCGACGACCTGGGGACCTTTGTAACGGGCCGGTGATTGTTGCGGTGACGATGCGGGGTCCTCTTCGGGTTGATGCGAGGCCTGGGAGAGTGGCGAAGGCTTGCGGGCGGACAACAAGTTCTGCTGGAACCGTGGCTGCATCTTTGGCGGACTTGATGGAAGACGACTGCGCTGTTGGTGCGAAATTCTGCTGGGCTCCTCGGTGACCTCAGTAAGGTCGTTCAAAGTCCGTTCTTGCGGCTCGTAAGCATCCAGATATTCATTCGCTTCCTCGCGCACGCGGACTATCGTAGAAGCTGTGTTACCCTCCATCTCTACACGGAACTGTCGTTGGTCGGATGCTGCAGAGATTTTGCTATCGCCATCCACAATAGTATGGAACGGTGAGCTTTGAGCAAGTGGCAGTGTGGACTCTTCAAATTGCACCGAGCTTGTTGAGATGTCGGCGCTTTGAAGTTCTCGCCTCAAAGGACTGCTCTTCTTTGGTGAGCTCATGAGCGCAGGGAAGCGAGGTGGTGTGTCAATGAACGGGTTTGTCTTTGTTGTCGGAGATGGCTTCTTTGTTGCCATGGGCGGTGGCGAGGACTCGGGAACGAAGCTTTCACCTTGGTCCAGAAGTTCAGACAGACTCACTTTCTCCTTCTCTTGTCGCCGCTGCCGTCGTTGTTCGAAGCGAGATGGTCGCTTTTGGTTGAAGACATTGGGCATATTCGACTGGAAGAACATGCCGGTGTCATCACTAGCCTCGCTTGCCGGACTCGACTCATCGTCAATCTGGATCGGCTTGTCTTCCTCCAGTGGAGTTACGACATCCTCATCCTGTTCTTCCTCCTGCTCATCCTGTTCTTCTTCGTCTTCATCTTCGTCATCTTCGGGTTGTTCTGTGACTGCAGGTTTCGCCTGGGCAGGGCTCGGTTCTCGCTGTAGCTCAGCTTTCTTGTTGTAAAGAGCTTCATTCGCCTTTCTACGACGCCAGGTCCTTGCAGCCGATTTGGTGGGAATGTCCTCTGTAAAGACATCGCGGAACGACTTCTCTTCCTCCACAGGGGCTTCCTCCCCCTCAACTGAGACCACCGAACGACTAGCCTCTTCTTGCCAGATGTCAGCGAAGTCATCCCATTGCGCAGGTTTGTCTGCCTGTTCTGCAGTATGATCCTGTCGGGGTTCTTCCATCTCAACATCTCTTTGTGCCAAGCCAGTTCGTTTCGCAGGGGGTGTGTCGGCCCGCCAGCTCATCTGACCCTCGCTCCTTGCAGGGCTCACCGGTGCGCTCTCTTCTTCAACATCCAGGACCGGGTATTGCACCTCATCCGCTGTGACGGTTGGCTCCACTGGTGAGACGGCATGATCCTGGTCTTCGGGAGTAAGAAGACGTGACTGACGTTTTCGATGCGTTCGGAACACACCTTGTTTGGGAGCTATCGTAGGATTGCTTTTGATGGGACTCGAAGGAGCGGGTGCACTCTCTTCATATGGCTGGCCCGCAAGCTGCTCACCAAGACGTAAGCCCGCTTGGAGCTCTTTCCGCGTGCCCTCGCTGAATCCCCGGAACAGATCATCAAGCTCGTCGCGCTTCTTGTCGAGTGCCTGTTGAGGAGGTTCGGGCGTAGACGAAAGACGAGTGGGATCCAGCAAGCCTTGTAAAGCTACGCCAGCGGTAACTACACGGCCGAGCGTCGGTGTCTGGGCTTTAGGCGGGCTAGGCTCTATAGCGGGCGGCGCTGATGGAACGTCGGCATCTATGACGGGTGTCACGAAACGCGATAGCTTTGGGCGTGTACGGTCCGAGGGTGCTGTGAAGGTCTGGGGTGGAGGTGATGGCTCTTCGCTAGTCGATGGTCCAGCATTGTGCGTTGCAGCTGTGATTGACTCAGAATATTCGTTTCTCAGTGATGATCCAACGGCTGGCGCTGTGGTGTTCTGCGTATCTGCAGGCTTTCGCGTACTCCGCGGTCCGTTACTAAGCAAGGTATCAAGTGAGATCATAGTGAAGCTCTCGTTGCCAACTGTGTCGTCACGCATCCTCATCGTCCCCTCGTCAAAAGCGGCTTCTGCGGGTTCGTCGTCTTCGAAGGCTTGAGCTTGGTCATCTTCCGCATCGCTCGCATGGGCGGAGCTTTCGCTGGGTGTGGGGAGGCTGGCATGGCCATCTTCGGAGAAATCGAGATCTTCGGGCTGTATAGGCTCTGCGTCGTCTCCACTGGTCGGCGTAAGAACATCGCTTCCTTCCTCTTCGTGCTCGTCAGACTCCATGAGTACCACTTTGTTCGCGTGTGGGGTACCCTTGCGCGTTCGCAAATCCTGCCTCATGCTCCTCTGTATCGGCGAGCTCAAGTTGGGCAATTCCTCAGCCTCCATCAGCGCATCGCTCATGGTCTCGGTAGTGGGGCCGGGGAGATCTGCGAAATGCGCGCTCTTTTTTGAGATTCCGGACTTTGAACTCGAAGGAAGTCCAAGCGTAGTATCTTGCACCGACCCTTCCCGGGTCTCTGAATCCTCCGCCACAGCGACGACCTTCCTGGGCCGGCCTCTCCGCTTCTTGGGCGGCACATCGGTGTCGACATCGGCTGCGCTTGACTCTCCACCCTTCATATTCAACTCGCGTGATCCGGATCGTGCGCGTCTCTTGACTGGTGTTCCCTTTCGCTTTGGTTTAGGAGTGGCGCCCACGTCAGACTTTCGGGGGCGTCCGCGGGGGCGTTTGACAGGCGACGAGGTATCGTGATCCTTCAATGGCACCGTCGTCGTTTTCGTTCTCGTAGTTACTCGCTTCACGGATGGGGATGCGTTGACGTCGTCGCTTCCGGGTTCAGCCTGAACGGTGACCTTGATGCGCCAGGGGCTCGCACCGCCGCCTCGTGGTGTGCTCATGATCATCGACTTGGTGGGGGACGAGAACATCATCTCCGAGGCCTCGAGTCTGCGGTTCTGCTTGGTCGGCGAGCTGCCCGCCATGGAGTCACGCGGCCTGGGCTTGCGGGCGGATGTGATGGTGTTGTCGAAGGAGAGGGCCAGCGGATCCGGGCTCGAGTCGTAGCTGCGGTCGCTGTGGGCATCGTCGCCTGCCGTTGCGCTTCGGCCGCGGGGCGCCATGTCTTAGAAGGGTCGGAGGGGTGTCTTGGTTGTTAGTGCGAGAGGAATGCATGTGGGTGGGGAACAAACGTGCGGTATCCGTCAGAATGCGGGACGGGCCACGCGCTGTCGCCCTAGCAACTATCTTATCACGCGCTGCTACGCGCGACACCACCAACAAGGCAGCCGGCGAGACCATCGAGTGCAGACTATGGAGGCGCGATGGGTATTTATGGGTGAGTTGTGCAGTCTTTCTGTACGCTTTCTTTACTGATTCGCGCAGTATCTACAAGGAGATCGGCCCTGGAAAGCGCGTAGCTCTGTCAAAGCTCGCCGTCGAAAAGTTCGAAGAGACCGGACGCCCGCTGCGCATTGCTATCGACACATCAATATGGCTTTTCCAGATACAAGCTAGCAAAGGTAGAGCTTTGGCATCACGTACATGCTTGCGCTATGCTGACTGTGAATAGGCGGCACCAACCCGGCGTTGCGCACCTTCTATTACCGCCTCCTTCGCCTCATCTCGCTCGCCATCCATCCCGTCTTCGTCTTCGATGGACCAAACAAGCCGCCCTTCAAGCGCAATAAACGCACCGGACCAAATGTCGCATCCATACCCGAATTCCTTGCAAAGCAGCTATTGAAGCAATTTGGATATCCGATACATCTTGCGCCGGGTGAAGCTGAGGCAGAATGCGCGCTACTTCAGCGAGAGGGAATAGTGGATGCGGTCTTGAGTGAAGATGTCGACACGCTCATGTTTGGAAGTGGCATTACGATACGCAACTGGTCACCGGAGAAGACGGGAAAGACGCCAACACACGTCAACGTATACGATGCGGTTGAAACAAAGAACGGGCCGTCAGGACTGGATCGCGAGGGCATGATACTCGTCGCGCTGATGAGTGGAGGAGATTACGTCCCTGAGGGTATACCTGGATGCGGCCCAAAGACAGCATGTGAAGCTGCAAAGGCAGGTTTTGGCGCCGATCTGTGCAAGATCCCGAAGAACGACACCAGAGCCATGTCCCAGTGGCGAGAGCGACTGCAGCATGAGCTGAAGACGAACGAGAGCAAGCACTTCAAGCGCAAGCACGGTGCACTGAAGATCCCAGACGACTTCCCGCGTTTGGACATTCTTGGATACTACACACACCCGGCCATTTCGAATCAAGCGGGATTGGATAAACTGCGCCGATCGATCAAATGGGACCAAGAGCTGGACTTCTCGGGGTTGCGCGAGTTTACACACGATGCGTTCGACTGGGTCAAGCTTGAAGGCGCAAAGCACTTCATCCGCAGTCTGGCGCCTTCGATGGTTGTGCGCCAGCTACGTATACGCGCTGGAAATCTCGATCGACTGCCTACCAACAATATCCAGGCGGTACAAGAGGACGAAGCTCTCCTCATCAAAGGCCTGCATGGAAAGCGACAACATTCGGTCACGGACAACTGCACAGAACTGCGAGTAAGCTTCACGCCGATTGAGCTTGTCAAGATCGACCTTAGCAAGGAGGATCCCGACGATGATGTGGAAGTACCACCTAGTTCTCAGCAAGCCGGGGGTGATGCAGAACTCGATGATGAAGATCTGGAAGATGAAGGCCCTAAGAAGCGTGGACCTACCAAGTTCGACCCAGAGAAGGCTGCGAGAATTTGGGTGATGGAGACTTTCGTCAAGGTTGGTGTGCCGCTGACGGTTCAAGATTGGGAAGCCGGGCGACAGACGAAGCTGAAGCCTAAGCGAGCAGCAACTGTGCAAGAGCCTGGCAAAGCTGCACCAAAGGCCAAGGCTGCTCCCAGGCGGACGAAGACAGCCGGCGATCAACCACAGGCTCGCATCGAAACTTTCGCCAAGGTAACGAAACCGGGCTCAAAGCTCTCGCGAGCTCTCGCAAAGACACAGGACAAGGTTGCTGAGATCCCTGTACCTGTCCCGCAGTCTGCACCACAACAGGACGATGTGATTGATCTACTCTCCTCCTCGCCAGTAAAGATTCGGGATATTGTACAGCCGCCACCACCTGAACGTGAGAAGTCGGTGTCTCCCCCCATTGCAGATCTGCCTCCAAGTGTGAGCAAGCGGAGAAGACGAGCCCCGATTCAACGCTCCAAAACACTTCCCGCTGATATCAATGCGGTTCCTGAACGACCATCGACGCCTCCTCTTCTCAACACGATAGAAACATTGGACTTGGTAGATTCGCCTGCTCATCCCTCACCCTCACAATTACCCGCGAAGAAGGCCAGGACGCGAAGAAATAAGGATGGGCTCGCTACAACAGCGTCTCGAGATGCTTCTGTAGCCCTGTCCCCCAGCAAGTCAAAGCAGTCAACATTAGATGCATGGCGAGCATCAGTGACGCCCACCAAGCGACGAGGTGTGACACCAGCTCTCAATGCAGGGCCACCACCCCAACTTCGCTCCTTATCAGAAGAAGTCGACTCGCTGGACTTGACACTTTCCTCGCCGGTACGAGAAACGCGACCTCAACAAAGTGCCAGTACCAGCGCACTACCAACTGCGAACATGTCCACCACGCGTCCACCATTGACATCAATATCGTCGAATACGTCGCATACATCCACAAATTCGGCATCATCAACAGCCTCCACATCCAACAAGAAGAAGAGTATAAGAGACGTATTTGGTCCATCTCGACCTCGCCGCACTTCACCTCGTCTCAGCAAAACCATGTCCGCGCCCCCTGAAGCCGACTGCCTCGATCTCACATCACCACAGCTTGTTGCAGGAAAACCAAGATCAGAATCACCAACGGCTGATACTCTCGATCTCACATCGCCAGAACCCATCTCAACAAGACCACGATCTGCATCACCAAATGTCGAGACACTCGATCTTACTGAACTCTCGTCCCCCGTCGTTGAGCGCGCCCCGGCCCCGACAGCACCTGCACCAGCATCCCCTCCACCGACCTCGACCTCACCTTCGTCCCTCCGCAGATCCCCACGCGACCACAAGTCTACATCACCACAGCCGCCCTCTCGCACCTCCCCACCAGCAGCATGGAAAGCGCGAGAGAAGAAGAAACGCGCAATCGTTCTGCGGAAGAGCGTAGTCGGCGCATGGACCTACGTAGATGTCGATAGCCCGGAGAAAACAGCAGATGGTCACGCAGGACTTGTGCTCAAGGGCAAGGAGAGAAGGAAATGGCGCGAGAGTGCTGTTGAGATGTTGGATTTGACATAAACCTGGCTGAATGCGCTTTAGGGTGGGAGAAGTATGTTTCGGTCCTTTTCGATGCAGGTTTTGGGGCTCGCGACTTGATGATGATGGATACGAAACGCGGCGTTTATTGAATATACCACGTTGAATTCCTATCCTTTCCTTTCCTAATTGTGCAGCTACGACACCCTTCATACCACACACGTTACCCACATTAACGACAACATGCGATAATATACCATGCACATGTATTCCATATCTTGAGTCGCTGAACCCCTGCAACAAATCCTAGACCCTGCGTGCGTTCACACACCAAAACCTGCTCCCGACCCCAGCCTCACTCCCAATCCAGCCCATGACGTCATACACCCAAACCTCCACCACCAAGGCACGCGGCCATGCATACAAAGCATGCGTACCACTTTCATCCGCGGAGACTCCATCCTAACTAACCTCCTTGATTTCTCTTTCTCAAAATCATCAATAAAACTGCACGTCTTGATTCACGCGTCGCAATACCCGTTAAACCTACCACCACCATCTCATTTTAAGAACAGCCGAAGAAAGACAGATCGGGTAATCTTTCAAGATGACACAAGCCGTATCCAAACAAGACACCTCGTCCCAACAAGTCCAACAGCAGCGTCAAGGCGCGGGTAGCAGAGAGGTGCAGGAACATCATGCTAGTGCGAATGCTTCTGTATGTCCATATCCCTTCCCATGCTCATTCCCATTCCCTACCTTATCATTACACTCCACTATACGGCATCATCTACAGTACTGCTTGATGCTCTGTAACGTGCTGTGGTGGGAAGATGGGTAGTAGGATTAGATGGACGCTACCTAGGTATAAGGCTGACATCTAAACAGGCCGGTCTAAACCTCAACCTCTTCGGCGCCCTTTCCGGCGCCTTCTCCTCCAAGCAAAAGAAAACTACACATCAGAATGCTGATGGTTCGAGTACTACTACTGAGGACAAGCACGATAAAGGTAACCACTTACCCCTTTACCCCATCCCATCCCATCCCATTCCATCCAACCCGATCCCCAAATGTCCCCAGCGGATCTCTCACCTACCCCTTCTTTGATTCCCTCGTTATTCGACTACAGTCTCACTAACCAATATGTCTAGGTACCGCGAGCGCAGCAGCCGGGGGCAGAGGAAGTGCATACGCAGCAGGAAACGCACAGCAGAGTAGTTTGAAAGCGAAGGAGAGTGGGATGGCGCAGGAACAGAAGCAGGGGAAGAAAGTGGAGAAGGTTGATCATTTGGGGATTGAGGGGTAGAGAAGGTGCTGAAGCTGTAATACTTTGATGGAATGGGTACGATGGTACTGAATATGAGATGACTATGACTATGACTACATTAAATCTAAACCAAATCGGGATGATGCTAGACGTGACAACATTGCGAAGACTAGTACAATGATAGATCCATCTCTTCATAAAAAATTGCCAAAGACCAAAAACGCCGTATTCAACCCGATATACCAAAACCCGAACACCTTTAAACAAAAACCACATAAGAAAAAACACCTCTCAAACCGCCCCGCCAATCCGACTCAACCCCTCAACCCCCCTCTTAGCAGCAACAACATGCCAAGGCACCGTCCCATTCCTTGTCCCCCTCATCCCCCTCAACTTCGCCAAAACGCCCAACGCCCTAAACTGACCCAGCACCTCCTTCAAAAGCCCCTCAGCCGTCGTCCTCGTCTGCGGCGTAGGCGTCCACATAAGACTCGTCGTACTCCTCTGCGCCGAATCCTGCCCGGGACCCGGACTCTGCGGCGTACCCGGATTACTAGCGTAAGGATTAGGCAGACCAGCTCCAGCGCCGCCTGGACTGGGGAGGTCGGAGGAGGCGGAAGTACTACCACTGCTGGTGCTGGTGCTACTGGAAGAGGGTGGGAAGGGGGAGGAGGCAGCGCGGGTAGAGCCTACGGCGCCGATCCAGAGGAAGTTTACGGCTATGACGATGGGACCGGGTTCTGGGTCGGGGATGGGGTGCGAGATGCTGTTGGTTGTTTGGTGGGTTTCGCCGCGTTTGACGAGGAGGCCCGAGATGAGGGCGGGGCTGAATTGCGTTGTGGAGTGGGTGTTGTGGAGGCGGTGGGCGAGGATTACACCCCAGGTTTCGTCTGTGACGTCGACTAAGCGGGCTTCTGGATCTGCTGTTGGGTCTGTGGCGGAGGGGTCGGCCGAGGGTGTTGCGGCAGGTGTTAGACCTGGTCCTGGGTCCGAGGGGGAGACGCCGGCTTGGGAGGTGGAGTCTGGAGGGCTTGCGCCGCCGCCGGTGGTTGTGCTTGGAGCAGCCATGGTGGGTATGAACTTGTACGGTGGATCTGCATCGACTGCTGTGAGTAAAGTGACGAACACATTGATCTGTGTCGGACACGAAATGAGGTAGACCCATGTCTCCAATTCCTCTCTTTCCAGAACTCCGGCTTTGGCAATGCAAACACGCCAGTTGACTCTTCGCGATTGTAAGATTTCGATAGTCGTCTGCCAAATCTCTTTTGCGACCTCTCTGAACACGCGCGTACCTAGATGGTACGAGACGACAGCTTGTGATTTGCCACAGCTGTCGGTCCAAGCTGCTGTCACCCAAGTGCCATCGAGGCTGATCGCGTAAGCAAGATGCATATAGGTATTTTCTCGAAGCAGATCCTGCGCCGGCTCGGGTATCAGCTTGAAGGGTATGTTTCGTGGAAGCGTCTCCTCGAGATGGAAAGCAGGTGCCGCATAGATGCTGAGAGATGTCTTGTCGCTATTAGGTGCACTCGGCGGGCATCGATCGTAGACCTCTCGTGCAAGGCTGAAGTAAGTAGCTGGATCTAGAATGACAGGGGCGTCGAACGAAGCGATGTACTTGATAGGTATGACCTGAAGCACCAGATCCGGCTTCTGGGGCTGATCTGGACGCCCTGGTGTTCCTTGACCGTAAGCTTGGAAGAGTGCCCAGAAGGCCGAGCACAACTCCCAGAGCGCAGACGGACCACCGAAAGGATCGATCATGTAAATGACGAATGCATCAATCTTTGAATCCTGTTGCTCCCGTATCTTCGCATGCTGTATGGCGAGAAGCTTTCCGAGCTGGACGCAGGTCTCTCTGAGGAGCTTGAATGTCTCTGATGGTGTGATGGACGAGCTGGCCCTCACAGGCACAAGACCCCCTTCAAACTCGACAACCGTCTCGACGCGAGAGTGTGAACCGAGCTTGCAGCTGTCGTAAGCAAGCTGAAGGTTGAGCAGGAAGTTCTCAAGGCATGGTCGTAGAGCATCGCTATGAGGGTATACGCAGAATGTAACGACATTCTTGGGAGGACTGATGGGTGATAATCCCAAGGGCTCCCAGAACGCTACTGCTGGTGGAAGCAAATCCCAATGCGTCTCCGCACGGCGTACCCTCAAGAATGGTGCGTTGATCTGGTACATGTGGCTTCCGGTAACTGCCGGACCGTCACTCTTCCGTGCAGGTGGCCTCTGCTGTGCTTTTGCCAGGGCAGCATAGTCCTGAAAGACCTCGTGCACGCCTGCAAGTGTAGGTAGGTCGCAATCCTCGGCCGCTGGGAAGAGCCCTTTGATGACAGCCTGCCAGCGCGTCTCTGCCATCTCATCATTTCCGGATTCTTTTTCGAAAGGCACATCCTCTCCCAACAGATCCAGAGTTGCAGACACAATCTGGTCTGTTACAATCTGCGTAATTGAGATGCTGTCCTTGGCACTCAAAGGCTTCTCTTCTGATACTTCATAACTCATCTCCGGCTGAGAGGTGGGAGTGTCGGGCATTTGCGCTGGGTTTGTCTGTAGGGTAGGTAGACTGTAGCGCGCGCCAGCTAAGTGTCGTTCCACTGGAGACGGGAAATGGACCAAAGACCAATCCCATATGCTTGGCTCGAAATTGTTCAGGTTTGACTCATCAAGTTGAAGACCGTGTAAATCTTGCCAATCGCCTCCCATCGAGTCCGCGAACGATGTCACTGAGAGCGGCGTGGCGTTGCCCTCGCTCTGTAACTTCCTCTTCGCAGGCATGACTAGTCCGCCTATGGTAGCTGTGGGCGTCGCTTCCACTTCCTCATCTTCTCCAGAGTCTTCATCGGATTCGTCTGACGTCTCACTAGAGTCCGAGTCTTCGCTAGCTGCTCGAGCCAGAGATGCTATTTCTGGTATCTGATGCGTAGACGCGGCCCCTACAGTGATACGAAGCTTCGAAAGTAGAGGTATGTCTCTCAGACTCTTCGTCTGGGTGACGGTGGCCCCAGCACCAGGACTAGGGCTGGAGATACTGTTACGGCCATGTTCCACAGAGTGATGCGTGCTGAATCGTCCATCCTGATACTTTGCATCAGACATGCTCATCTTGCGACTGAAAGCCACCGGGCTGAAGTGGGTATCATGTGGGGTATCCGTGGGTTGAGTCGATCGAGCATGCGATGTCTTCTTATTCGGCGGAGATGGTTGCAGTGCCTTGGAAACAGCGCTCGGGCTTAGTGGTGGAGTTGGCTCCTTGGAGAATGACACTTTTGCTTTTGGTGTTGGGACGGCAGTTTTCTCCTCAAACAGGTCGACGCTTTCGTTTGGCGGTTCTTCCACGGCCATGGGCTGTTTGCCTTTGTCTTCTTTCTTCATGTCCACGGGAGGCTCAGAAGCTGTATCCAACGCACTTTCGAGTGCAGCGAATGGGTCAGATGCGTCTTCTTCGGTCTTGGGCTCGACAGCGACCTGAGTCTCAGACTTTCGTGATGTGTTGGCAGGTGCTACGCTCGTATCTGGCAGCTGAGGTGCGTCCATCATGTCAATATCGTTATCGTCTGGTCCGTCAAAGAAGTCGAAATCCGTGTCGTTGATGCGATCCCCTCCGTATCCATCTTCGTCCATATCGTCGCCGAAAAGATCATCGTTTCCACCGGAGGTGTTCAAATCGTCTGGCGCAGGTGCGACGGGTGACGTCAAAGGCATTTGTTGATCTTCCATCTTGGTGTCGTCTTGTGGAGCGGAGAGATTGATGGCAGGATTGCTGCCTCCGGGTGCTAGGATGACGTTGGAGACCGTGCCGGACACGCTCGGTGTGTCGCTATGGGAGACCGCAGTTCCAGGAACAACCCCATCCGGAGGTGTGGGGTAGACACCACCTGCAGGATGCAGGTCCCCGTAGGCACCACGAGCATGTACAGGTGATGACGCGATCATGTTTTGTTGTTCGTCCTTGAGACGGGCAGCGTCCTCTTCAGCCTTCTTCGCTTTTCGTCTCGCTTCAAGAATCTTGTCACGATCGGGCTTTCCTAGAAACCACTCCTGTGCGGCATCAAGTGGATCTTTGAAGCCCGTTGATTCTGGCGTCTCGTACCATCTCAGCATACTGTGGCCTCCAGCTGCTACCACACTAGCTGGCTCTGCAGACGTCATCTCGTACTCTGCTGAACCGTGAAAGAAGCACAGTGCTCTGGGCCAGAGGACGTCTCGATCCTGACTTGCTAAAGCCGGGCTCGAACTTAAAGGGTTGTTGACGGAGGTCATGCGTATTCTGACCCATGAGCTTTTCTTCTCAAGGTCAGGCAAAGCGAAGCCCTTCCAGCCCAGCCAACGCTTGACACTCGACTTCCAATTCTCAATGCTCTGCTCTAAGGTGGTGAGTCTAGTGCGTTTCCTATGACGGAGGCCTATCTCCTCTACGAGGGAATCAAGCGGATCTTCAAGGCTCGTTATTGTTGCAAGTAGGCCATTCGGAGCCACTCGGATACATCTACCAACCAAAGACTGCTCTCCAGCTTGCGTTGACACGTCGCCGACGCAACGAATATCAGTCTTCTGGTCAATAAAAGTCGATACGAGGAGCGTGCCCGAGCTGGCCCAATGTACATTGATGCTTGTAATGCGATGTACGCAGTCTGGTAATTCAACCTCATCTTCATCATCGTCTATCTGCTTGTAAGCCTTGGAAACAAACGTGCGGAAGTTCAAGGCAGTCACATTGCAATCTTTGACGATGTGGAACGAGATGAGAGCAATGACGGATGATGTGAAGAGCTCATAGACTGTGAAGCAATCGGGCGGCGCAGGGGCATCAGATGCCGAGGCCTGGCTGTTGCCCTGTGACGATCTCGCACTGCCAGCAGGCAGGCCCCTTTGTGGTGCTGTTGCGGATGGGGAATTGTTCGAAGCCGCGGTGGTGTTGGGGTTGCCCGGGCGCATGGGAGGCCGCGCTAGATCGATGGCCTTGGTGCATCCTGTCTGCTCGCCTAGCACGTGTCAGTCGTAATTTTGGGAAGGTGCGAGTGCGACGTACTGTGCAGGCGATAGCCGTAGAGCTCTGGGAGGTCGACGTTCGGCTCTATCTTATCGACGGTCGTGGGCTTGAACAGCCATAGCCACGGTCGCGATGCATCCTGCGCAACAAGGTGCAGGTCCTGTCGCAGCTCGGCTTCGACTGCGCGTATGTCGTCGGAAGCATTCCAGTCTCGCGTTCTCGAGGAGGTGGGGGTGGTGGTGCGGGTGATTGAGAAGGCGTGGTATGCGACAGCCTCAAAGTCTCCCTGTATATTGTCAGCGTGCCATCGCGTACGAGTATATTCCGACGTACTATAGCTTGCGCATTCGTAGTACAGGTTTTGAGAAATTCCATTAGAGAGATGGCTCCTTGTTAAGGGACATTCAGGTGGTATGCGCGGCGTATTTTCACTCCCAAGACTGCGCTGTACACTTTTTCCATCAACTCCGCTGCGGTCCGCCCAGCGCGTCACGCGCGACAGTGTCTATCAAAGCGATGGAGGAGTGGTGTGGGCGGGGCGTCGAGGGTCGAGGGTCAGTGTATCGGCATGATCTAGACGCGTAGGAGAAGTGATCATGGCTCCGAACACGGGGAGAGAGCCGGATGCAGCTTTCGGCGCCTCCCGATTGCAACGACGTGGTACAGGGTGGGCAGTACAGGCACTTGAGGGACAGAGCGACTGGACCCGGCAGCGAAAAAGCATGTGCATGCGATGTCAGCTACGCGGAAGAGGCAGCCCAGTCGACGGCGGCTGGCTCGCGGTCGCTAGCCCACACATCCATGTCGCCCGGGTGCACGCCCGGAGTTGCGCTTAGTACTAACGGCTCCACTCTTTTTTCATCGCGAACTTCCAAACGTTCTCTGCCGCCGCTCTGTCGCATTCCCTCACCACGCCACCATGAAGATTTCCTCAGGCGCCGTTCCGGTATACACCATCAGCGGCAGCGAGGCGCGCCCGCTGCCCGAGTGGCTTATCCGGAAAAGAAAGCGCAGTCTGAAGAACGACCCCGAATTCGCCAACCGCGTCGACCTGCTGCAAGATTTCGAGTTTGAGGAAGCCAGCCAGTGTGTTCGTGTGAGCGAGGATGGCGACTGGGTCATGAGCACGGGCACCTACAAGCCTCAAATACACGTCCACTACCTTCCCCATTTGTCGCTGTCCTTTGCAAGACACACTAACACTCTTGTACGCTCTTGCCGTTCTTACTATCCACCCGCAAGATATACTAACTTTCGCAGAATCAAACCTTCCACCTCCTCTCCTCCGATGCAAAGAAGAGCGTACACCTCCAGCAAGATCGATGCATAGAATTCCACACCGGTGGAGGCCTCCACTATGCGAGTCGCATACCACGTTACGGTCGCGATCTTATCTACGACCGGAGATCAGCAGAGTGCCTGGTACCTGCTGTCGGTGTCAACGCGGACGGCATGGGCGAGGCTTTCAGACTGAACCTGGAAGTCGGGCGCTTCATGCGGAGTTACGAGATTGACGTGGGTGGTGACGATGTGACGACAGTCGGTGGCGGCGCTCTCCAGGGTGGCATTGGTGCGGGCGCAGTGAACACTGGTGCTATCGCCGAACATTCGCATGGCCTCCTCGCCTTCGGTACCTCTATCGGCACAGTAGAGTACTGGGACTCGCGATCAAGAAACAGAGTGGGTATTCTGTCGGCGCCACCAGATGCGTTTGAGGGAAAGTCGGAAATCACAGCGTTGACCTTCCCGTCGTCAGGTCTGGAAGTTGCCGTGGGAGACTCTAACGGCATTGTACAACTCTACGATCTCCGATCACCAAAACCACTTCTGCGAAAAGACCAAGGATACGGCTACCCGATAAAGAACATCATCTACCTCGACGGCGCGCAAACTGCCGAGCCCAAGATTTTGACCGCAGACAAGAGGGTCATCAAGATCTGGGATCCAAAGGACGGCACGCCATGGACCTCTGTGGAACCATCAGTAGACCTCAACCACGTCGAATGGGTGCCAAAGACTGGTATGCTCCTGACGGCAAACGAGGGCAGGCAACAACATTCCTTCTTCATTCCACAGCTCGGTCCAGCGCCAAGATGGTGCTCCTTCCTCGACAACATTGTCGAAGAAATGGCCGAAGACCCCAACGACCCCAACGCTTTTGGCAAGGGCGCATCTGGAGACGTATACGACAACTTCAAATTCTTGACACACGAGCAGCTGAAGCAGCTTTCCCTGGACCACCTTGTCGGAACTACAAGCCTACTTCGACCATACATGCACGGATTCTTCGTCGCCCAGAAGTTGTACGAAGAGGCGCGCCTCATCTCAAATCCAGACCTCTGGCAAGAACAGCGCGCCAAGAGTATCGCCGAGAAGATCAACAAAGAGCGCGAGTCCCGAATCCGCGGCAACAAAAAAGTGGCCGTCAAAGTCAACCGAAAGCTCGCAGAAAAGATGCTGGAAAAGCAAGAAGAGCAAGCGCGCCGACAAGCCAAGCGCGTCCTCAAGCAAGGCGGCGACGACGACATGCTCGACACCAGCACCACCGCGCCCGCCGTCTCCGAACCCACCAAACCCGCCGACGGCGTCCTCAACGACCCTCGTTTCGCCAAAATGTTCGAAGACCCCGAATTCGAAATCGACGAGCAAACCCGCGAGTTCCAGCAGCTCAACCCCAGCACCAAGATCCCCAAGGGCCTTACCGCCGCCGAGCAAGAAGACCTCGAATCAAGAAAAGGTTCTTCCGACTCGGACTCTTCCGACTCTGAAAAGGACGCCGTGCGTCCTGCGAAGAAACCTCAACAGCAGAAGGAAAAACAAGACAACTCGCGCATTTCATCCAGTGCCTACCGCAAAGCAGGTCATCGCTCTCAACGCGCTGGCCCCGAAATGGTTGTTTCGTCGTCGAACCAACGGAAATCGGGGTCGTCTGCGATGGCGAAAGACAAGACGTTTGGTTCGCGTGTTAGTAAGCTCAAGGACAGGAAACCGGCCAAGTCGGCGAGTAATACGACGGTCGTGGGTGAGCGGGAGATTACGTTTGCGCCGGAGAAGAAGCAGAGGAAGAGGCCCGAGCAGGAGGGGCAGAGGCATGATCGGAGGAAGGAGGGCGGGAGGAGGAATGCTAGTAACAATGTTTTTAGAAATATGTAGTTAGATAAAAAGTGGATGGGCGGAAGAGATAAGATGGAGATGCGTGCCTGGGAGTTGAATGATACCCTTATCAAAGTGTAAAATCTATGTTGGAGTGGCGATGTGATGCGATGTTGTTTACGTGCTTCTTTGTTTACCAGGAAGAAGCATGAAATAAATCTATCATCCGAAAATTTCCAATCCGAGCGTACAACTTGTGCGGCGCAAGAAACGAGGGACACAGGGCAAAGAAATAGTGCAGAGAGTCTTCTTTCGCAGATTTGTCAGGACACGTACGAAGTTTCGATTGAAGAAAGTTAAATCGATCTATTCCAATAGCTCGTCCGCAGCATGATGAAAGCTCGAAACGCAGCCCTACGCCATATATAAAATATACTCCTCCATGCGATCAATACCACATGGCACCGCCTCTGTATAAATATAACCCCAGTCCCATTGTCTTGTCCAAGCGGGACTTCCCCTCTCGCCCTATCAGGCTCAGAAACCTCGTCGATCGTGGATTCAACATCGTGTTATTCCTTTCCTGGTGCAGATGAACAGTCTTACTCAGAAGACTGCTTGTTCATCATGGTGTAGGCAGCAAATGCAAGCGCACCGCCGAGCAGGATGATAGCGTAGAGACCGACGCCGGTGGATGCGCCGTCGGTGGTGGTAGCGGTTGTACCGGGTTGCGCGTAGCTCTTGGGCTTTGGGTCGCCCTCCTATATCACTCGTTAGCATCGCTATTCTGTTTTGTGGATACGGAGAACGGGTTGTTTCGTTTCCGTGCATGGTGGGCGGAATCGTTCCGAAGAAGTTCCTTGACCCGAGGACCGGCTTCTGGGCGCGGCAGGCATCTGGGGGCGCGGGAAATAGATGTGTGATGTGTCGGGGGGATGTTGTTTTGTGTACGTGAAGGGAGGAAGTGGGAATCGGGTTATATGTGCGGGCTTGAGGAGTGGAGGATGTCGTACCTGACGCTTCAAGTTTCCAACAAGCAGCCCATCGAGAATCTCACGGGCTTCATCCGAGTGACCGACATCCTCAAAAGCTTCTGTTGAGTCCTGGCCTCCGACATCGAGAAGAACTTCCTCACCACCTCTGCAGCGATGTTAGCAACCTTGCTGTGACCATTGACCCGACACATGTGAAGGCGGGGCTTTTCGCCATAACAAGTATGAGTATGCGAATGCCGAGGTGTGCATTGCGCGGCGGGCAGGTGCAGGGCAGCGAACGTACGGGTGCTCGTCTACGAAGCTCGATGCGTTGTAGACTTTGTCGTGGACGACGATGTATAGGTCCTTCTTGGTGTTGTGCTCCGAGACGTCGGAGTAGGTGAATTCCTTGTCGGCAGACATTGTGGTGGTGGAAGTGGAAATTCGGGGTACGTGGTCTTAAGGCGGGAAAACCGAGGTCGTGTGCTTGCGTGCGTCGAGGCGAAGAGAGAATTGGACGGGGAGACGGTTGCGTTGACGTGGAGGTGGTCAGATGGGAATGAACACGGCGGATAAGAAGTTGTGCACAGTTGTAGCGGGTTGATTAGCTAGCTTCTCCCGAGGTCGGTTTAGGCGTTGCAGAGGCGCTCGCGCTCAAAGTCAAATTGCTGTTCTACCATTGGCTTAGGCGCTCACCGACCCAAGGCTTCCGAGCTCCGGCCACAACGGGTAAGAAGACCCTGTCGGCGGGGCTTGCGGTCTTTTTGAGTAGTCAATTCCGCTGTCGATGGGAATAGCTTTTGATACAAAGAAAGAACTTAACAGGTGCTCTGCTGTCTACATTAGTATGTACATATTCGCTAAGGCAATGTATACTTCTAGGAGATATGTATTCATTTTTTTCATTGCATGAGATGATAGCTAGGATGATTGTCAGAAAAGTCGCTCGCTATGCTATAATGCTATAATGCTATGATACTGTTTACACCTGCTCCGCCTCCCTGATACACCGTCACGACCCCAAGACCTTGATCTTCATCCACTCGCTCGTTCCTATCCCAAGGTTTAATCCGTTCAATGCCCACCATCTTCGCACGGCATCTCCCCGCGCTCCCTCAACACCATCCTCTAATGCTTCTTCGATGTCACAAGTCTTGTACTCCACCTTCAGGCCGCTGCGCTTCCACCATTCTAGCACGCCGGCATGGCCCATTTTGGTTGGTCCTACGAGAACCTGGTTGTCAAAAAGAATTTTCTCGCCACGAAGGGTACGCCAGTAGTCTAGAATATGTGTGTGGCCATGGGTCGAGGCGATTTTGGCTATTGTATCTTCATGCGAAAAGGGAATGCCGGATTCAACCCAGAAGTGAATCGCGGGTAGGCAGCCTGATTGTGTTGCGTAGGTGATGGACTTGCCTACCTTGAGAGGTAAATCGTCTTGGCGGGGTCTGCTAGGAGCTTGCTCATCGATTGGTGATGAAGGTACCGAGGGGGCCGTCCTGTAACGGCTGTGCTCCTTCCACCACTTCAGTACGTGAATGTGGCCCTGCGAGCTAGCTTGCTCGAGCGCAGCTTCCGTGTACTTCAGTGAGAGGCCAGAGTCATACCACCAGTCAAGGGCCTGGACCGAGTTGGTGCGGCTCGCATTATCAATGGCTTCCGCAGAGTACTCTTTGGTAAGGAAGGTGGGCGATGTCCGCCAGTACTCGAGAATCTCCGTTTTGCCAAACACAGAAGCCTTGTGGGGTAGAAATGTGTGCCCGAATGTGCCCCAGAAGAGCTCCTTGTGGAACTTTTCAAGATGCGCAAGAACGGGTACCATGGCAAAGCGCATGATGAGTTCGATGCATACGCGGGAGATGCGAGTGGGGTTCTCGGAGTCAAACACAGCCTTGATCTCCGAATAGGGATAGGTAAGAAGCGCCCATTCTATCTTCTGCATCTGCGTCTTGGGGCCTTCATCGCTAGCCGATTGTCGCCACTCTTTCGGTATGGGCAGATTCGTGTGAACATTCAACGTAGTCGCTAGCTCCCAGTCCTTGGTGAATTCCAGGATAATGGACCAGAGCTCTGGCGGAAGCCGAGACCCTTTGCTTCGCGTAGGTGTCAGTGTTGGGAGATGGGCAATAGGTAGTGCGATAGTGCGATCACCAACTGCCATCAAATCGATCTGGGTTTGTATAGATTCATTGAAAGCCTTGTGCCCTTCTACCCATGGGTGGTACTTGCGCCCGGAATGGTCGAACGACCACAAGAACGGAGGGAGTACGCGGATCCAGTTCCACTTCCGCCGTATCTTGCTGATCTGCTTCCTCGACATGGGGTTCTCCCACATCAGCGTGGACATGCCCGGTATGAGCATTATCTTCTTTGACACATTCCAGCTGCGCAAGATCTTCAGGTGCAGGTTTGTTGTGAATCCATGGAGCATGCGGGCGAGATTCTCGGCGTCAAGCGGTGCGAGGACGAGCAAGTCGGCCCATGAGCAGTACTCTGCCACGTTGGTCTCCTGATAGTCGACATGTTGCCACTCGGGCGTCGTGTCGCTCTCGGGGTCATACGTGTACCAGACGGGCTCGAGCTGGGGCGGGACAGTCGTGTGCGTCGTGGTCGGGAAGTCCTTGCATGCGATGATCTTCAGAGAAACATGGTGGAGGCGATGCAGGCGCGCAACGATGGAGCAGCCAAAGCGGAAGGCCGAGGGGTCAGTGAGGGCGACGAGGACGTTTAGCGTTCGCGCGGGTGTTTGCGAGGACATTGAGGGGTGGCGTGCGGGAGTCTGTAGGTTGCGGTGAGTGCCTACACAGACATCGATTCACCGTTGCGTTAGACCGCGATTGGCCGCTGCCCCACGTTGCTGTCAGTAGCTGCCGCCAAGCCCAGGCAGTGTCAGGCACGAAGGGTGCATGGACGTTTGGGGGGATACATAAGCCATTGATGCCATCCTGTCGCGAACGGTGGTGACGGCCGCATTCAAAGGCCCGACCTCGTTACATGTACGCGTCAAACATGAAGTGATTCCATGGTGCATCGTTGGTCCACGAATTCGTCAGAGCTTGGCGCGTTGATCGTCGAAACACTTTTGCACGCCACGGGCCGGCATCACGTGAGATCGGCGCATCCTGCCCCCGGGGCCGTCTGCCGTGGAAAATCCCAATATTCTGGGGACAGGATGATTCCGCGGGAGACAGCGTACCACTCTTACTACGAGAGTGTCTGCAGCCCTCGGAGCCCGCTGACAGCTGTCATGGATATGTTTGTGAGACCCGGGTGTCATTAGCCGACGCCTCTTATGGTGTTGAGGACAATAAACAAGCAGGTGACTGTCGCAATGATGCCGCCGCGTCTCACCAAACACACTCCACGTTCGGCGTCAACCCAGCCGTGGCGCATCTCACCGATGACGTAGCGCTTGTCTGCCCTAATTCCCGCGCGCGAGTGGGTCCGAGGCCGCTGATGATGGAAAACTGTCGAATATCCATGCTCCGGTCGCTAAGAACTTTCATGGCCTAACCTGCATCTTGCCCCTAACCTACCTGCTCTGAGCTTAGATCGTCGATCGCAGAGATAGAGCGACTTAACCCAAGACGTTCGCGATCGACATCTGGAGGCGCATCAAGCCATTCAAGACGACGCATGGCAGTCATCTATCTCATCAACTAGACGGTGACGCGCTGCCCGTCGTTGTGTCTGCACAAGTGCAGCTAGGAGCCAGCCTGGTCGTTGCGCATCTCTGCCTGTGTCCATCCCTCTGTCGCTTTCCATCCACTCCAACGGTTGCATGCTTCGCACTTGACTGCCCTGGACGGTCCAGATTTCGTTCGCCCCTCCGCACGCCGCCACATCTCCCAGCAGCAGCAACTCTGCCAACTTCATGAGGCTGCTAGGCCCGCCCACCATCCCCCTCTGGCAAAACAAACGAGACTCCTATTAGGGATTGTCCGTCTTTCGCCACCCTCACGCGGTCCCTGCATAACGCCAAGTGACCTTGCCTGCGGTTGAGAGCATCCTCGCAACTATCCACACCACACGTTAGCGACCACCAGACGCCCATGGACGCCTGAAGGCACAATCCCACCGTGTGCGGGTGCCTCTATTCCTACCAACAGCCAGGCCGTCGGCGTTCTCTTAACCCTGCCGCCGGCGTGCTCGCCTGATCGACGGCACACAGCTCCATGTCTCAATCACCCCAGCAACCCCCCAACTTTGGTCCTCTCACACAGGACGATGGCCGCTTCAACTTCTCCACCGTGTCGCCCGTGCCCGAAGAGCCAGCTACGCCCGACGCTGCACCAAAGGCCTCCGACTTCGCTCTACCACCGAACAGCGCTGCGTCTGGGGGTACTAGTAACGAAGGCACCATGAGCCCCTCCGCTACCGACCGTGTCTTTCCCATACGGAGCGCCATCAGCGTCGACCCTACTCCCACTCCAAAGGGCGGTCACTCCCAGGGCGATTACTTCCACCCATATTCGCGAACAAACGACCCGCGCTTCACAAGCGACTCCCGCCGAGCTTCGCAGGGATCGACTACGTCACAGGCTTCACATGGCTCGCAGCGCGCTTGGGGGTTGCGTCCCGGGGGTACCAAGGCAGAGTCAGGCTCTGATACACAGCGCTCGTCCTTCCCATCGACTCAAAGAGCCGACGGCTCGAGAAGGGCCGCCCCTCAAATACCCCAACAGCTGTTCAATGATTTGTCGTCAACAAAGTCAGGCGGAAGCGCACAGGAAGGCAGTCGGTCACCGGGGTCCAGAGCCGAACGGGCACCGTCAATTGGAGGTGCTTCCGCTAAAAGTGGTATAAGCAGCTTGGACATGGGCGGACTGGTGACACATCGGTTCAAGCACGTCACGACTGAGGGAGGACACATGGTCATAACAGGCCGTGAGGGCGATACCCTACAGCGCTGCGAGGATGAACCCATCCATCTGCCGGGCGCCGTGCAAGGCTTCGGTCTGCTACTGGCACTGCAAGACGACCCGGAAGGAAGTCTGCTGGTGCGTGTCGTAAGTGAAAACTCTAAACGCATATTAGGACGCACCCCGAAGGAGCTATTCGCACTAGAGAGCTTTACGGACATTCTATCTGAAGAGCAAGCCGATAATCTCTTGGACCACATCGACTTCATCAAAGACGAGGACTCCGACGTCACGTCCAATGGGC